TAAAAGTATAGGGAAGTAAGGAGAAATGGATATTATAAGAACAAGATGGAGAGAGTTAGACATTTATACCAAGCAGTGGATTCTTGTGTGTTTGATGGTCCTTCGGGTAGCTATCCTGGCTTCTTCAGGTATCCATACGTTTAGTATTTTCTCACTTGTTCAGAGATGGGTTTTCCTGTGAAGACAAAAACAAAACACTTCTCTTCCCCTTTATGAGGTCTCCTTACACATAGTAGAATATGACCTTGTGGATGAGCTGTCATCTTTCCTCTTCCGGAGGTTTCTCCTGTTCAGATCGAATCTTGATTAATTTTGATGGAATCCAAAGCTTCTCTTCCCCTGTGGAAACAAAGGTGAAACCCCTTCCCCAACATAACACATATCCTGGTTTCCAAACTGAGGTCATAACATCCTTGAAATACACTGGTTGTTTAGCTCAGTAGTTTTTTCTGTAGTCCAGTGTCTTTCTGCTGCTGTTTGTCCTTTCTCATTAGCATTAAGAAAGTCCAACGTTAGTAAAGCATTATGTAACCTGTGTTTGGGGGTCTTTGCTCCCCCTGGCTGTTTATGAAGCATTTCTTTTAAGGTTCAGTTAGATCTCTCAACCACTGCTTGTTATGTAGGATTGTAAAGTATACCAGTCACGTATTTTGTGTTATAATATTTGAAAAACTGTTCCAATTTTCTGGAGACATATGCTGCAATATTGTCAGTTTTTATTTGTGCAGGTATAACCATAACAGCCATCACTTCTAAGAAGTGTGTAACAATAGAATCAGCCTGTTCAGACGTAAAAGCAGTACCTCGTTGGAAGCCTGAAAACATGTTTATGGTATGGTGTACGTATTTCAAACTTCCAAATTCTGGAGAGTGAAATGCGTCCATGTGCCAAATTTCATTTCTGTGAATACCCTTGGGATTCCTGCCTGCTGGTAATGGAGTTTGATTATAGAATAAACAGGTGTGGCGGTTTCTTACTATTTCCTTGGCTTATTGCCAAGAGATAGAAAAATCCTTCTTTAAGGCTTTGATGTTAGCATGGTGTTTCTTATGAAATTCTGAGACTTCCAACACACTTCCTGTTAATAAACTTCCTATTAATAAACAATCAATCTCATCATTGCCTTGTGCTAGAGGACCTGGCAGACCTGTATGGGATCTGATGTATGTTATATATATAGGATGAGTTGTATTTCTGATAGTTTCCTGTAATTGTAGAAACAATGAGGTTAATTCTGTATCATCAGGAACAAATTCTGCAGTCGCAATGTGTAAGATGACTCTCTCTGCATACTGAGAAACCATAACTATATGAGAGGCTCTGTAAAGTCTTTAAGTACCATGAGAATGGCGTACAACTCTGCCTTTTGTACGTAGTTGTAAGGGCTTTGACCTACTTTACTTATATTTCCTGATTTATAACCTGCCTTACTCACTTGTTTGCATCAGTGTAGAATTTAAGAACTCCAGAGATTAGTGTTTTTCTTACAATATGTGAAAGGATCCAAATTGTTTTCTTTATGAATTTGATTCTCTCTGTTTTGGGATAATTGTTACTAATCGTTCCCAAAAAGTTACTGCAAGTCCTTTGCCAATATTCATTATCCTCCCATAAGGAGGAAATTTCCTCATTTTTTAAAGGTACAATAATCTCTGCTGGGTCCTTTCCAGTTAGTTGATGAAGACTTAACTTACCTTTTAATATCAAATCAGAGATCTTTTCTATATGCCTTTAGTTTTTTGTTCGGTTTATGTGGCAGAAATAGCCATTCTAGTATGATGTCTTCCATCTGCATTAATATTACAGAGGAGTATTCTCTAGATGGTAAAACAACCAGAATGCAGTCTAGTTTTGGATCCACACTGTCCACATGTGCTTCTAATATTCTTTGTTCTACCCATTCTAATTCTTTTTCAGCCTCAAATGATAATATGCTTGGACTATTTACGTCCTTGTCTCCTTTTAGGGCCATTTTCAGGTGTTTTAAATCATGCCCTTCTACTCCAATAATTGTCTGTAGTTGAGAAAATTCTCCTACTAGTTTTTGGAGATCATTAAGAATCTGGTAATGATCTCTCCTGATCTGTACTTTTTGCAGTCCAATTTTCTGTAGATGTATTTTATAACTTAAATAACTAATAGAATCTTCTCTTTGTGTTTTTTCTGGGGCAATCTGTAATTCCCAGCAAGGTAAAATTTCCTTTACTCCCTCAAACATCTTTTCCAACATTCCTTCCTTCAAATCAGCCAGCAATATATCATCCATATAATGGTAAATTATGGATTGTGAAAATAGCCTGTGAATTATTTCCAAATGTTTTTGTACAAAATACTGTCATAAAATAGGACTGTTTAACATTCCTGTTGCAAAACCTTCCATTGAAATCTCCTAACTGGTTGAGAATTGTTATAGGTAGGCACTGTGAAAGCAAAATTTTCCCTGTCTTTTTCTTGTAAAGGTATAGTGAAAAAGCAATCCTTTAGATCAATTACTATAATTGGCCATCCTTTAGGTATCAGGAAAGGTAATGGCATCCCAGGCTGTAGAGAATCCATAGGATGAATAACTTTATTGATGGCTCTCAGATCAGTAAGCATTCTCCATTTACTTAGACTTCTTTTTAATAACAAAAACAGGAGAATTCCACACACTGGTGGATTCTTCAATATGTCCAGCATTTAACTGTTCCTGAAATAGCTTTTCTAATGCCTCTAGCTTCTGAGAGGTCATAGGTCATTGCTCTACCCAGACAGGTTCATCTGTCAGCCATTTTAAGGGTGGGGCTTTTGGTTCTTCTGTAGGTTTGGCACTAGCATCCTGTTTATGTACAGCCTGTATGTTTGGCATCTGTTTACTATAGTGTCTTACAATATTTTTTCTACCACTAAGAGGTTGTTTATGATTCATATCTGACATAAGAGGGATGTTAATCTGAGTATTCCATTGTTGCAATAAATCACGACCCCAGAGATTCATAGCAATATCTGCGACATATGGCCTCCGTCTTTGTCTTTCGGGCCCTATATACTCAATCCGTCTCGTGCTTTATTTTATTTGAGATAGGTTTCCAATCCCTAACAATTGAACATTTACTTCTTGTAGGGGCCATCTGGAGGGCCAAGATTCTTGAGTTATAATAATAATGTCCTCTCTATGTCCACTAAGCCTTCCAGAATAATGTTATCTATCTGCACTTTTAATTTGTGTCTCTTATCATTTATAGAAGTCTGCCAAATGCTGGGCAGTGGTGATACAAGCCTTTAATCCCAGCACTCGGAAAGCAGAAGCAGGCGGATCTCTGTGAGTTTGAGACCAGCCTGGTATACAAGAGCTAGTTCCAGGACAGCCTCCAAAGCCACAGAGAAACTCTGTCTCGAAGAAGAAGAAAAAAAGAAGTCTGCCAAAATACACATTTTTTTGTTTTCTCCAGTATCGATTGGTTTATCCTCAGTAACTAATCTGTCATCCACAGCAGTATAGTCTTTACAATAGGCAGTGGATCTTCTAATTGTCCTGAGAGAAATTGTCCTCCACAGTGACTGGGAATGACTGGACTTAGACATGGGGGACTTCAAGAGGCCCCTTGAGGAGCTCCCCAATTGTAAAAGGTCACCTTGTTTGTCTGTGGTCAACTCACATTCGTTGGTCTAGTATCAGCCTTTGCCACATCTCCTACATAATCCAAAAGGCTGAGGCCTTCTGCTTGAATCATTCCTAGAAAGAGCATTATTTCTAGGAATGCTTTGCCTACAGTTCCTACTCACATGTCCTATTCTACCACAGTTAAAACATCTAATATTACGATGTCTTTTTAAACTTCTGGAGATTGCTTCTCAAACCCAAGTTCTTATCTCCTCACAGTTAGGGCATTTGTCATCTTGGTGCCTTTTTTGGCCCTTAGAAACCTCTCCTACCCAGGTTCCTGTGTCCTGATCATTATACTCGATGTTTGCTGTATGTAAAACCCACTTTATCCAATGGTACTGATCTAACTTTTAATGGCCAAAGTATTTATTTACATTGTGGGTTTGCATTCTCATAAGCTAGAGACTATATAAGGATTTTTGCTAGACTCTGTGTCAGATACTTGTAATTGTGTTACTCGGACAGTCTTTCTTTTTTTTGAATATTTTATTTATTTACTATGTATACAATCTTCTGCCTGCATGCCAGCAGAGGGCATCAGAGCTCATTCAAGGTGGTTGTGAGCCACCATGTGGTTGCTGGGAATTGAACTCAGGACCTTTGGAAGGACAGTCAGTGCTCTTAACTGTAATAACTGCCCCTTGGACAGTCATTCTAATAATTGAGTGAACTGTTCTCTCGGACCCTGTATCACCTTGGTGCATGGCTGTATTTTTTCTCCTGGCTCATGAACCTTATTCAAAGCATTCATAGCTGCTGTATGGCATAAAGAAAGTATATGGTTGTCAAATTGAGCCTGGGCCTGTGAATCAGCATACTCACCTTCACTAAGAACTTATCTTAGCACTAAGAATCTTATCTTAGGGAGCCTCAAAACCTTTCTTTAGGCCTTGAAGTTTGAGCAGCTTTGCTTCCTCCCTCCACAAAGCCCTCCATTGTGTTTGAGACAAATTGTCTAGTACCACTGACATCAGATGATCCCAATCTTTTGGTGTTATTTTATTTATGCTTGCCCAAGAGTTCAACAATTCCTTTACCTAGGGGCTATGGACCCCATAAGAAACAATGGCCGGCTTAGCCCCCTTCAGGTCCTTCATCTGTATCGGTTCCCACTGGTAAGTGATGGAACCATTATGGTGCCTTAGCGTTTCTGACCTTTCAGTCATAGCTACTGGAAAGGCCTTATGAGGTGACTTAAAACCCCTAGGAAGTTCCTCACACCGTCTAAAGGGTGTACAGGAACCCCTGTCATGACCTATTGCCCTGACCGGCAGGGCACAACGAAGGTCTAGCCCACGGGAACCTGGAATGACGGGACAAGAGACACGAGAAATGGGAGCAAGACAACATGGCTGATTGAGCTCTGTTTATTGAGGATTTCATACAAGCTTATATAGGGAAATGAGGCAGGGGGATGGGGGCAGAGGAATGCAGGACAATGAGGGAGGGGTCGTTGCCTAGTAACCAGGCCACAGAATGTTCTTATTCAGGGTCACTTGAAGATAGGCAGGGTGTGTTCCACGGACACAAGTCTGCAGTTAGTGGAGTCTGGACTGCAGGCCAGGTGGCAGAAGGGTGGGAGAGCCTGGCCTGCAGGCCTTGAAAGTATGCTGTACAGGAAGATAAGCAGACACAGAGAAACAGAAACTTAACTGTTAGTCTCTAAGAATGCAGTAGGAATAGTAAGATGGCTTCTATTATCCTACTATCCTAATTTAGAGTCCTCCACAGCTGGCAATATTTACAAAAGGTCCTATATACCAATGATCACTCCCCGCAACCTGTGGCCAGTGCTTCTGAATCTGATGTGTCAGATTGTATATCATTTAAGATCTGCAGTCTTGTAACCACTGTGTCTCTAAGTGATTGGAATTCCTAGCTCAAAAATTTTTCTAAGCACCTAATAGAATCTGCCCGTTCCTTGGACTTGTCAGTTAAGCATGATTCCAAGCATTTCATACTGTCATCTCTAGAGGCCTGAATGGTGTGTAAGTTGCCTTTTAGGAATATCATCCTATCTGCTAGTCGTTCATTGTTTTCAGGCCTGGAATGAATTGTTCCTGATAATTTGATAGTTTCCTCCTGATTGGACTCGATTTTGGCCATAATTGCAGTGGACATGTAATCAATTGTGTCTTGAAGGTTGTTCTGTTTAAGTTCCAAGTTATCTACTCTGGTAGACAATTCCTCCTTTTCCTGAAGATTTTGATTTTTTGACTCTAATTTTCTAATCATCTGTACAATCTGTCTTCTTATTGACTCTCTTCCATGTGATTATATGTATGAGGAAGTTAATCATGAGCATCAGACACAAATACATTTGAAATATATCATAATTGTCTCCCAATATATAATCCATGACATTGGCAGTGAGATCTCTAACGTTCTGCATTGTTAAATTATCTGCCATGGTATAAAAAAGGTATTCCTACCACCAAATTTTAAAGTACTGAGTTGTAAAATTCACCTCTAATTAATTTCGGTTGATGAGAGGAATTTTACCTGTAGTTATCGTGCTCCGCCGGGAAAGTTAGGTATCTTCAGGCGAATCTGGAAAACTCCAAGCAGCTTCCACAAAAAATTAGCGAGCCAATTTATTAAAAGGGAGGAAAACTGGCCCTATCCTGTGGGCCGTGGAAGGGATGTAGACACCGCGTAGGGAAGGCAGACACCACAGAGAAGAGGCGGGACCCACGGAGAAGAGGAGGGCCCCACGGAGGAGAGGCGGGACCCACGGAGGAGAGGGCGGGCCCCACGGAGGAGAGGAGGGACCCACGGAGGAGAGGTGAGCGGGAGGTAGAGGGTAAGCGAACACCGTGCCCTGCACCGCTCGGCTTTTGAGATGCTCGGGGCAGGAATCACGGTAGACCTCTAGGCCGCGGCTTTCTGGCTGGGTGCACTGTCCTGCTCCTGCAAATGGGGCTGAGGGGTAACGTGCTCGCTCTGGCCGAGGACTGGGGAGAGGCTGGTGCTGCATGCCTTTCTGGGTGCATTCGGTAGACAGAGGCAGGTAGATCTCTGTGTGTTTGAAGCCAGCCTGGTCTACAAGAGCGAGTTCTAGGACAGCTAGGACTGTTACACAGAGAAACACCGTCTCAAAAAATTAATAATAGATAGATAGATCGATAGATAGATAGATAGAGAGATGACAAATAAAAAGAGAAGCAGCAGCATGGGAGGAAGTGAGCAGATCCCAGTGCCAGAAGAGCTTTGGTCTTAGAATCCAGGAGCCCTGGACTCTGCCCAGGCAGACCCTGACATCTGGATTTTGATATAGACAAGTCCCAGAGCCATGGGAGCTTCGTTTCCGGGCCAGATGTAAATGCTGGCCAAATGGCCTGTGTTCCTGGACTCAGTCCCTGCTTCAGAGGCCTATGCCAAGACACAGCAACTAAAGGGCATGCCTTTATCTTTGGATCCTGCGTGCCTGGCCTCGCCCAGGCAGCTGGAGCTTCCTACATCGAGAGCCTTTGACAGTGAGCCACTAGAAGTGTCCAGTCCAGGCCGCTGGAACATTACAGGCCTTCACAGTGCTTCCTGCCTAACTTTGGTCTCCTCTGATGACAGCGGCACAGCACCCAAGCCATCTCCAACACCTTCTTAGTTCCCAACATCACAAAGGCCAATCCCAGAGGGATGTGGGGGAAATGGCTGGGGGACTCAGAGAGCGGCTGCACACTTACAACCCCCCCTGCTCTGTGATGCCCCTCACAATAACCCCATCACTGGAAATTGAGACTCAAGGAGGTCACATGTGCTACAAGAGGTGACGCAGAGTTAATCTAACACAGACTCCTACTTCTCCTCCCTCAGCTCTGTACCCAGCCTCATTAGCCCTCAACAGAGCACTGAGATGGGGAGACAGGGAAACAGGGGCTCCCTGGCACTGGGGACCCACATGGACATGAAACATAAGGAAATTTCTCTCTCATGAAACTCACAGTGAGCAGCAACACCAATCCCTGGTTCACAGACAGCACAGCTCCGCCATCCTCCTGGACTGCCCTGCCTTGGACCAGAAGGGTTCAATGTAGCATCTGCCACAAGGCTGCAGGAACCCGAAGCGGGGGTGGGAGGGTGGAGAGATGCCATCCCTCGGAGCTGGCTCCTCCCCAGCTCTCCCTCTCCCTTAACCCTCCACTCCTCCCCACCACGCCCCCTCTCCCTTAACCCTCCACTCCTGCCCACCACGCCCCCTCTCCCTAAAAGGAGAGTAACTACCGCTGTCTTCCTTAAAATCCTGCATGTCCCAGGCAAAGGAATTTGGGGAGGTTTTGTCTTGTCTTCAGCAAGCCAAGCGACAGTGGTTTATTCTTATGAGTCACGAGGGCTGATGGGCTTAACTGCATTAACGTTAGCTCCAGACCTCATTGGTTCAGATTCCATGTGCCTTACTCTGGATAGACATTTACCCAGCCACAGTGAGACTGGAATGGAGGACAGAAGGTCTGCATGTTGAGAGGAGAAACCGCCCTTGTGACCAATGTGCCCTGTGGATCAGCCATCACAGACACCAGCCTGGGCCGATCCCAGCTCTGTATCTGGTGCTGAGATTGTATCCTTCGCCGTCCCTGGCTGGGATGTCGAGTGTGGCTGGTGAGGTTCAGGCCTGCCTTCTTCGTGAGCCTGGGCGCCGAGCCTGTTTTGTGCCTGCTCTATAGCACATATTTACTGCCACCACCTCCAAGGGTTCTAAGCCCTTCTTCATGGAAACAAGGACTGGTGAGCCTTTTTGTCCCCTTTCTCTTGCTGAGGTTATGGCATATGCTGGCCACTGGTGGGGTGCCATAAAGGGAGCAGAGGAAGTCTGGACGGGTAGTCCTGAGTGGCCAAGGCATCTCTGACGCTTGTCTGGGCAGCGAGGTGGTGAGGGGTTGTCAGGGTCCTCCGGCCATCATCCAGATATGGCTGCCTCACGTACTCATAAGAGAAGATGTGACTCAACCCTCATAGAGAGTGCATGACTCTGGACCACCCTGCTCCCTCTGCTAGATTCCCGAAACAGGCCTGCAGCTTAATTATCAGTTAAAGATTAGCTCAACAGAAAGCCCCCAATCCCGCCAGGAGTTAGGTGAGGACATAGGAAAGATTGAGCTAGATAAAGTAAGAACCTACAGTCAGGTTACCTAGCAACACAGGAGGTTCTACCCCCCCCCCTCTTGCCCTGGGAATTAGGTTTCCGGGCAGCACAGAGGGCTACCCCTCCCCCTGACCTTTGCTCCGCCAGGCTCATCACAGCTGCAGCACACCCCCATTCTTCCCCTCCTCCCTTCCCTTATTTAAATCCCTTTGGGATGAAATAAAGTTGTCTCCTTGATCAGACTCCTGACTTGACGTCCATTCTTTGGTATCGCCTATTCTCAACTTTCTCCTAGGTGCCCTCCAGCCCCCATGCTGAATGTCCCGCGGTTTGGGGCAAGGGATCTTGTAGCCAAAAGCTGTGGTTCTGAGAAAACCAAGGTTTTCAGCTTTACTCCTTTGAACCTTCTAACTAGTCAGGACTCCCATCCTCCTGTAAGACCTCAAGGACAGAGACAAAGATCTACTTTGTAAATCCAGGAAGCCAGAGGAGAGAGGGAGGGAGAAGGGACAGCTTGTGACACTTCTAAGGAAGCCCCCCCAAGGGCATGGCACAGAGACCTGGAACAGGCCTTTATGCAAGTTCCATTGGCAAACTGGCTTTCCTATGAGTCTGTGTCACCCCAAGGACGGAAGCTGCAGGCACATAGTTTGGCTGACAAAATGAGACACCAAACCTGTCTTGAGGGCGTCTGATGGTCAAGCTCCTGATTTCTCCCAAACAGTTCCTAGAGCAGGAAACCCTACCACCAACAAGCAAGGGGCTGAAGAGATGGCTCTGCAGTTGAGAACACACGATGCTCTTCTGGAGGGTCTGGGTTTGATTCCCAGCACCTACATAGTCATTCACATCATCTGTACCTGCAGTTCCAGGGGATCTAACGGCCCCTTCTGACCTTTCCCAGCACCAGGCACGTATGTGGTGCACATACATACATAAATACAAGCAAAATATTCATGCTTGCCAGATGGTGATGGTGCACACCTTTGATCCCAGCACTTGGGAGGCAGAGGCAGGAGAATCTCAGTGAATTTGGACCCAGCCTGGTCTACCAAGCAAGTAGCACATCAGCCAGGACTGTTATACAGAGAAACCCTGTTTCAAAAAACAAAAAAAAGTTTGTATTTGTCTATATAAAATCTAGGAACCCAGGACAGCCTCCAAAACAATATACAGAAACCCTCTCTCGAAAAACAAACAAACAAAAATCTAGGAACCACAAAGGAGAAAAAGTATTTGTCTTTCTGAAACTGATTTAATTTGCTTATTCTTCTGTTGTAGTCACTTTCCATTGAAGGACATGGCTTCGTTCTTCATCATGACTGAAAACTATTCCTTTGTGTGTGAGAGGGACTCTTTACCCATGTTTTTCTGATGGAATACTTAGGTTGGTCCATAACTTACTTACCATGAACAGTACTGCAGTAAACACTGATGTGCAAGGGTCTCTGTGATGTGTTCATTTGGAGTTCTTTAGGTAAACACCAGGAGTGGTATAACTGAGTCATGCATGCAGTGTGGCTGTTTTTCGGTTTTGGTTTTTAACTTTTTATTTTCTCAAGATTTACTTTTTTCCTTAATGTATATGAGTGCTTTGACTTCAAGTGTGTGTTCAGTGACTGTGGAGGCCAAAAGAGGGTGTTAGGTCTCCTGAAACTGGAATTGCAGATGGCTGGGGGTTGCCATATAGGTTCTGGGAACTGAACTTGGGTCCTCTGCAAGAGATTAAGTTCTCTTAATCACTGAGCCACCTCTCTAGATCTACTTTTTGTCTTTTGCTTGTTTGTTTGTGCTTTGTTGTTGTTGGTATTGTTGTTTTGGTTTTGGTTTTTCGAGACAGGGTTTCTCTGTATTGCTTTGGAGGCTGTCCTGGGACTCATTCTGTAGACCAGGCTGGCCTCGAACTCACAGAGATCTGCCTGCCTCTGCCTCCTGAGTGCTGGGATTAAAGGCGTGAGCCACCAATGCCCAGATATTTGTACTTTTTGTTGTTGTTTGATATTTGTCATTATTTTTTTGTTTGAGACTAGAGTCTTTTGTAGCCAAGGTTGATCATGAACTTCCAATGTAGCCAGGGATCATCTTAAAGTACTGATCATCTTGTTTCTGCCTCTCAGAATGCTGGGATTATATGTACCACCGTGCCTAGTTTTCTCTTTTTGTTTTTTTGAGAAACTTCCATACAGATTTCCAGAGGCTGAACTCATTTTTTTTCAATAGGGCCTCAGACCATAGGAGGACCCTGGACCTTAGCACAACTGATTTTATGATGGAAATGCCACTCAGGCTATAGATACTCAGTACATAGACAGCACCATCTTCCAAACATGAAAACAAAGACCTGGTCCATTGAAGCCCATAGTTCTGGGAAAGTCTCTGAATGAACTAACCTTGCTTTTTGGCTTCCATAGTTCTGCTTCAGGCTAACTGTTCTTGTTAACTGAGGTATGTCAATCCAGAACATGGTTTTTATGCTTGAAAGCTCACAGTGAGAAAGGCTAAGTGCTTCACTGGGATCCCGAACACCCAGTGTAGTCACTGTCCAGCTAAAAGAGACTTTCTTTTGGCTTAACCCCATGTCTGAGGAGTCTTCTCAGGTGGATACCCCACGACAGTTTTCATCCCCACCAGCTGTGTGTAGGATTTCCCACATCCTCACCAAACTGCTTGCTGTTTCTTTAGTGACTGCCATTATGACTAGGATGAGATAAAATCTCCAGTTTTAATTTGCATTTCTCTGTCAGGTTGAGCAACTTGATTCTTATGCAGAAAGTCCATAACAGTGTCTATAACTTGTTTTCCCTGCTCCCCACCCCCTCCCCCCACTTGCAGAGTTTCAGCTTCTACTTCAAGGCTATTTTGTGTTTTCAAGTGAACTGTTGCCCCAGTGTTAGTTAATCTGAGATATGAGCTTTCGAATTCAATCAGCCCTTGGACTGACTAGGGTGAAACTTTTTAGTCAGTGGCTAAACCCTGTTCCTAATTATTTCAGTTAATTGGCCACTTGACCTTCATCTTTTGAGGTGAGGGCCATCCATCTGTTCATTAGCCCATTTTCATTGGGTTGTTCGATTTTTTTGCTTAGGTTTGGACTGTTGTATGTTCTAGATAATGAACCCTCAGTTAGATGTTCAGCTAGCAAAGTTTTCCTCCTGACTAAACCCTGTCCCTAATGGTTTGGGTTTCAAAGTTCCTAAAACATAGGCTCCAAGAGTTTCCACCCTTAGAACACAGACTTTCCTCTTCATAACCCCTGACCGCCAGTTACTCCCACAATACTCCAGCCAGTGGCTCAGGTGGACAAACTGATTTTATAACTTTGTATGTAGAAAAGGGTCTCCCCCCCCACCTCTAATTTCAAAATTAACACCTCTAGGACAGATCGGCCTTGCCTGTGTCCACTCTCTAAAAACTTCTCCTTCAGTTTCCATCTCCTAAATGGTGGCAGCACACCTGTAATCCCAGCTCTTGGGATGTGGAGGCAGGAGGGTCAGGAGTTCAAGGTCATTCTCAGCACACCTGTAATCCCAGCTCTTGGGATGTGGAGGCAGGAGGGTCAGGAGTTCAAGGTCATTCTCAGCTATGTAGCCAGTCCCAGGGCGGCATCAATAGTGAGATCCTGTCTTGAGAAACAAAACAGCACACCAAATGATAGCTTGGTAACTCGGAAACTGATGTAGCCTTTTTGTTTTTGAGTCAGGCTGTCGACGTGAACCTGGTTGGCCTGTAACTCTGCCTGCCTCTGCCTCCCCCTTCTGGAATTCAAGCCACATCTGGCTTAATGTTTTATGGGGAACACCACTAAGGTTAAGCAGCGACACCTTTGCTTGCGGGTTTCAGGCAGTGACAGCTTTCAAACAGTAGGACCCGGTCCTCATTTACGGTGCCATTAACTTATTTTGAAAAGATAAAATGTTCTGTACTTACAACCCAATCATTGTTTCTATTATTGTCCATTCCCCTAGTCAGACTCCAAATTTTAACCAAAATATTCCTACTCAATCTCCCTTCCTTTCCCCTGTCCTTTTCATCCCTAAATAACATATCAACATTAGTCCCAAATCACACATGTGTCTACAGGGATCGGTAAAGTCAGACATGATGGCACACAGCTTTAATGCCAGCACTCTGAAGCAGAGGCAGTCAGATCGGTGTGAGTTCGTTGCCAATGCCAGCCTGTTCTATCCAGTGAGTTTTAGGCCAGTGGGAGGAGGGGGGGCGGAAGAAAAAAAAAGAAATAGAGGTAACACTATTGGGAAGAAAGCTGGGGGTCATTGGATATGTTCTTTGAAGAGCTATGATTTCTTTGTACGGTCCCACACATCCCATTCTGCAAGTTTACTCCCTCACAGAAGGCCTGCTGCTTTTTAACTACAG